CGGGGGGCAGGGGCCACCCCAGCTGGGCCCCCGCTGAGGACACCGGGTTCCACACCCTCCAGAGCCCCGAGGGCTTCAGGTGCCCACGCCTGACCTCCCAAAGCTGCGGAGGCCGTAAAAATCATCGTTTCCCCTCCCGTGAGACGCGAGCTCCTCCATACCTGCGCCCCTCCGGGAACGGATCTCATGCTCCCCAGCCCTGCAAATTTTTCGTGAACTTTACAGCGCGTGCCAACCGCTGAGAGTGATTTAGAGAGGTGGAGAGCAGTAGAAGTGCCTGCAGACAGATGACCGCTGCTAGAAACAAAAACACTGGGTGCTTTCTTTAGGGCAAGAGAAGGCGCTTTTGCTCTGTGTTTGTACAACCTGCAGCGCAGCGGGGCCCTAACCCTTGCTAGGAGTTTGCCCTACAGTGAATAAGTCATCATGAACTGGAGACCGATATTCAGAATGACATTTAATTTAATGTATACCATAATTAAACGCCATTTCTTCTGACCCCTCGCTGCCGTGTGGTCTGTAAATCCCGCAGTCCTCGGCAGACGTCAGCCCGGCAGGCAGCGGGAGGCAGGGGCGCAGGCTGGCAGCGGTGACGTGTCCCTCCTGCTGTCCCTTGCGACGCTGATCGAGGTTTCTACCTGCCTGAGCCTGGCGAGTCAAGTGGCTCCTATGAAGCTGAAAATAGCAAGAGGCGTGAGGAGGTCGGGAGACCCGTGTCCTCACCCTCCTGATGATGCTCTAATGATGCCGCCGTCAGTCCAGCACAGTTTATTCGCCATCCTCTGCTAACTTTAGCAGCCCAGTGTTAAGCAAACCAATTAGGAGCTGCGTGCCAGACAAAGCCAAAGCCCATCCGTTTCGGAGACCGAGCCTGTGGGTCGGTGAGGCACGAGGGGGAGGCGGGAGGGTGCCCGGCTGTCGCTGTAAAGCCTTTGAAGGTCTTTGATTGCGAAGAGCTGACATAGCCGAGTGACTCGGAGCACGTCAGTAGGAAGGGGCAGCCCTGCTGAAGATGCAGTGCAGGGCTTGGGTTTTGATCACCTTCAGAAATGCCTGGTTTCGGTTTGGCACCCGTTTTTTTTTCATCTTAGGTGTGCACTGCTGTGGGAAAGGCTTTCAGAGCAGCAATCTCGTGCTCACCTTTATAGCCAGAGCAGGACACCCCGATAAAAACCTTCCCCCAGAGTTTCTTTGTTTCTGTGATTTTTAGCTACCCCAGACAAAAACTGGAAGCGCAAAGCTGGAAGAGGACGGGAGGCATGAAGGCTGCTTGGTCCCTTTCGTGCAGACTCGGAAGTGATGCTCTCTTTTAGCAAAATTTGGAGAGAAAAGATGCAGGTTTTATTCTGAGCTCCCCTTTGCACCTTCCTGCTCAGCGAGCCCTTTTCAACACATCTGAGTGCCAGGCTGAGCCCTTTCCAAATTCTGCTCCTACATATTGCATTCCCACCAGTCAGGGTGGAAACGACTTGGATTCTTCTACTTATGCCGACTGGGTTTTGCTCCGTGAGTGGCTCGTGAAGCTAACTGGGCTAAGCCTTCCCCAGCTGCTGCATATCCAGCATCAGGCTGAATTGGTCCTGTAGAGGAACAGACAGCCTGGTGGGAAGGAGTGGGGGAAAGAGGCAGTTGGTAACTGGCTGCCTCTGAGCTGATCTTCCCAGGGCAGCAGTGCCTTTTGGGGCTGGGTTTCTGCACCAGCTTGAAGACAGACACAGACTGAGAGGTTTGAGGTGTCCAAGCTCTGTGTAAAGCGCTGTTTGGTATCAGCTGGTATCAGCGCTGCTCCCCAGAAAGCCCCGCAGAGAAGGTAAGTGAGAACCTTGGGGAAAGGTGACTGAGACACAACCCCACCAGAGAGGGACCTGGAGAGGGAAGGGGGAACTGAGCTGAAGGAAAACTGGAGAAAAAAGGCATTCAAAGATACTGAAGGAGAAGGTGACTATTGTGGAGTAAAGAGTGTGTAATAGAGCAGGCGGGATAAAGTCAATAATAAAAATAGAACAAAATGATTAAGAACTAATAGCGTTTACCTAAGAGGTGTGAATTTATGGAGCTGCCGAAGAGCTCGCTGTGTGCTGTCACCCACCCCGGGCAGCAGGAGACAGGAAGGCAGAAAGCCTGATGGGTTGCTAGAGGGTGCTGTGGGTGCTACGCATACCCACGTGTTCGTGGGGAGAAAGGTTCCCCTGATCTGGATTTAACCTCCGGCTGAGGAAACCTTTCTGCCCCAGGGACAACCACCCAAAGCTGCTTCCCTGGGCAGCCTCCGCGGCAGCTGGGCTGGGGCTGTCCCTCCCCAGACCTCACCTTGCGCTGGAGCAGCACTGGGCGGGGTGTTTGCTCCTGCAGACACCCTGCCTGCCTCATTAAGTTGTTGGGAAATACGATGTAATGTCAAATGAGGCTTCTGGAAAACTGTTTTTTTTTCCCCTGCAGTTGCTGTTGGGCACGTTGTGTTTGTCCATGCTGCAGTTGTTATGGAGCAAAGAAGCTAGCAGAAACATGACGAAGTTCATTTATGACCAATACAGGGCTGAGTGATTATTTTGGAGTTCAAAGCTGTTCACAAGGGAGTTCCTCGCAGGCTGCCACAAGGCTTTATCGCTCACTCTTCATGTTCATAACAAACTGCAGCCTCCTTCGTGGCAGGGCACAGGGAAACCGCTGCATTTAATTCGAAGCGCAGGTGTGGGTGCAAAGGAAAAATCCCCCAAATCCCAGCGTTGCTGAGGCTGGGGGGTAACAGCAGGGTCAGGGCTGTCGTGGCTCTCTGCGATGCGAGGCCCCGCTCCCTCCAGGGAGGTATCACCCAAAGTTTGCTGTGTTTCGGTGCTCCCTCCCGGACCGGGATGCGCAGGCTGTGGGGCAGGGGATGGGCACGGGGCAGCCCCGAGCGGTGGGGAGGTGGGATACGGGAGGGCTGGGCATGGCTCCCCTTCACTTCCAGAGCAGAGCGCAGCCCGGACAGGTAAATCCCGTGTCCCAGCCACCTCCTGCTTGCGCTGCAGCTCCGGCGATGCTGCTGGAGAAGTCACTGGGTCAAAACCAGCTTGGTGCTGCCCTCGCTGCCTGCCCCAGAGCTTTATCAGACAGCGAGCACGAGCCCTCGGCGCGGGGCTGCGGCCGTCCCCGGGCAGCAGGGCTCCTTGGCGCTTATCACCTCCGTAATCGTGGGGAGGAACGGAGCCAGGGAAACCCTGCGCAGGGCCAAACCCTGCGTGCTGGCTGCCGGACAGAGGGCTGGGGCACCCCGGCACTGGGTTCCCCGTCCCCGGGTGTGTGATGGCAGCCCGGTGGCAGCGCCAATATTCCTGCCATAGCAGTGCCAGGGCTAAAGCAGCGCCGGGGCTCAGCTGCCATCCCCAGTGCTCCGGTGCTAGCCGGGCTCTGGCCCTGCGTGAAGGCAACGGCCTCTCCAGGGATACCGAAACAGGGACGGGCTATTTCAGCAACTTTAAAAATGTCGTTTGGCGCGCATGTAAACGTAACACGCAGTTGCACAACAGCACCCGGCTCCAAACCCGCGGTCTTTTCAGACTTGTTCTGCCAGTCCAGCCAGATGGCTGGATCTGCTGGAAATTTCGGCAGGAACACCAACAGCAGTGGTGTGGGGCCGTGAGGAGCCGTGGTTCTGCCGGTGCCGTGCACCGACGCCCAGCGGTCCCGGCACTGCCTTCCTGCGCGACAGGTCAAAAGGGAAAGCGTCGTCAGTCCCCTGCGGACAGCAAACAGGCTCTGCCCTTTGAAGCCTTTGAGCGGATTTGGTTGGGCTGGTGGTGGAGTTTGAGGAGTACACAGAGAGGAATGCAGAGAGTGCTTGCGCTGGGAGGCCGGGCTGTTTGCAGACGTTGGCAGCTCCCCGCTGCGCCGTGGGTTCGGAGCAGGTATACGGAGCCGGAGGGGTCCCCGTGCCAGGCGGGTGGCAGCTTCGGGCAGCGTGCACCGATCCCAGCTCCTGCTGACATGGGGTTTCCAGCGTGTGGTTGCAGGAGGTCTTCACAAGTCTGTGAAAAGGTTTGATGGGGGGAGAGATGCGAGTCAGAATGACCAGCAGCAGAGAACAGCACCGTAACCGTTTACTGTCCTGAACCAACACGCTGCTGCCAAGCACCTTAAAACGCCCTCGGCGGCCAGAGAAGACCTCGCTCCCTGCCTGCTCCAGCACATCTCCGGGCGCTGTGACCTGCCCACCCGCCGCTGCACTGCCCTGCACCGGGCTCCCCCAGCAGCCAAGGGGCCTGCAGGCCTGGGGGCTCACTGATCTGCAAAGACCTCGGGGAGCCTTGATATCCCACCATCCTCCTTCGGAGGCAGGCCAAGGCGTGCGATGCTCCGCATCCCATGGCGGAGCAACAAGGGCTGCAAGCACCAGCAGGTCCATCCCTGCAGCCCCGCACACCCACCACGGCAGAGCCCACCAGCAAACCTTGTGAGCTGCTCCACACCGCTTGCTCTGCAAAGGTCCTTTGCAGGCAGACGCTCGAGTCGCTCGCTTGCCTTCTCGCTGCGAGCGCTACGAGATCTCCCGCGCAGGTGAGATGGGCAGGACACCGCCCTGGGTCCTCCGGGGACAACGGACGGACTCTTCATGGAAGGAGTCTGGTTTCATGTTTACAAATCTCTGCAGGGTGGGTGTCAGGAGGACGGGGCCAGACTCTTTCCAGTGGTGCCCAGCGACAGGACAAGGGGCAACGGGCACAAACTGATGGTCAGGTTAACCATCTGGTGTGAGCAGACGGAGCCAGGGGCTGTATCACACGGGCCGGGGCGCTGGGCTAGCTACTCCTCGGTGCAGACAGGTAAACACCTAAAGCAAAGCTCAGGGCTGACGTTCCCAGAGGCAGAGCCCCGTGGGAGGCTCCAGTGCTCAGCCTGCACAGGGAGCCCAGCTGCCCTCGGCACTTGCAGGGTGCGCCTTCGTTAAATCCTGAAGGGTAATTTACCCCTGCTGCGGATGGTGGGAGGCCGACAGGTCCCGCAGCAGGGGCAAAGGAGCAGTGTGTGTTGCCATGAAGGGCTCAGCGGAGCCAGCAGCATCAGGGAGAAGAGGTCTCTGACCTCCTGGACTTTATTTCTCTGGCCCAGGGATCAAAATTAAAAGTCAAAAAACTCAAATGTGCACCAAAGAGTTGTCCCATCCCAGTATGTGTGTAATAGAGCTACACAAATCCTGAAGCTCAGACCTTTCACGTTATTTTCTGATTCCAGGAACTTGGATTTTACTTTCATATTCAGTAAAATTAATTCTCCTCTCTGTAATTAATATGCTGTTCAAATGGATTCTTAATTACAGATAAATCACAAATCTACACACTCAACTGTTATGCTTTTCAAGTAATAAAAGAGATCATTTGTCTTCCTCAGATGAACAGAGGCCAACTAGCACTCCATTTCCCCCTTTATGAAGAATTCATTTGCCTTAGAAAGAAAGTCTTTAAAAAAACATTGCAAGGATTTCTTGAATAGGGGATCAAAGCTCCCACACTGCTGGAAACCATTTTTGCTAAATCAGACCTGGGTAAAGGAAAAAAAAGTAAAAGTTTTTTGGTAGTGGTTGGGATTACGACACCCTTGGGAGGGACAAGGACGTGGGGTCAAGAAGTTGTGACCAGGTTAGCAACACAGGGAACAGAAGGGGAGGACAAAGGAACAGAAAGTGGAAATGGACAGATGAATGAGGAAGCGTGTTTCTTTGCCGAAAGAGAATGGATGCTACATCAGTTCATACTGAGAGCTAAAGGATGAGGGCCTGTTAATGGATCGGGGGACACAGCAGGGATCAGAGGTCATGAGTGCACTCAGCTGGGCTAATTGACTGTTATGTGCATATTAGTGATGATGATGCAGTCGGAGAGTGGGACGCGGGGAGCAGATATGCAAAAGTTCCACTGGCAAGCGCCGTCCTGCAATTCCTGTCTTGCACCTGCCGAACAAACGCACACACGCAGAAGACAGTGGCCTTGGCTGGCTTTCTTCAGGAGCGGAGCCCACGGCTACAGGTGAGCGTCTCTGACCCAACTGTGCAAGGGATGAAATAAATCTGCTCACCAGATTTGCTTTCCAGTCTCAGGGGTTTTCATCTCGGACATAGGTGTTGGGCACAGCCCAATGACCCGACCAGCGCATCTCACCTGGGCTGCTTCGGCGCCGCGGCAGAGTCCCCTGCGCAGCCCTGCGGGACGGGGCTGCTTTGGGGTCGGGAGTGCACCCTGCTTCTAACACCTGCCTATACCTGCTGCGCTCCCAGGGACTGCCAGCGAGAAGAACAAACCAAAGGGAAAACCGCACAGCCCGGGC